AAGGGGAACCAGGGGGCAGGGTCCAGGATGCTCAGATTACTGCCACCAGACCTCCCCTTTCATGATGTAACCACGATGTATGAGTGATTTAGTTTGGGGGGTGTAACATGGGGATTAGCAGCTAATAAAAGTTTGGGGGCTCTTTTGTTGGGGGCTTCCATCTTGTTCCACCTTGTGGCAGGTGGGAGTCCTGTCGTGACAGTCTTCAATAAAGACCAAGCCTACTGACTGCTGTTTTGCTCTGGTATTCCTGGCTGGTGTCCTTGTTTTTTGTCCAAGGGAGCCCTCAGATCTAGAACAGCACTTCTGCAAGGGCAGCTTTCAAGATCCCAAACTCCGCAGTTTGCTTGCTAGCATTCTGTCATTTGCTCCTGTAGCTCTTCCAGGAAAGCAGGAACTGTACAAATGTGCATTGGTGAATGGTTTGCAGAATCCTGCTTTCCCCCCTACCGAATTTAGAACTGCGTACGCCCAGGTCAGAAGGTTGGCGGTTCGAATCCCTGCGACGGGGTGAGCTCCCATTGCTCGGTTCCAGCTCCTGGCAACCTAGCAGTTCGAAAGCATGCCAGTGCAAGTAGATAAATAGGTACTGCTCTGGCGGAAAGGTAAACGGCATTTCTGTGCACTGCTCTGGTTTCGGTCTTCCATTGCGCCAGAAGCGGCTTAGTCATGCTAGCCACATAACCTGGAAAAACTGTCTGCGGACAAACGCCGGCTCCCTCGGCCTGAAAGCGAGATGAGCGCCGCAACCCCACAGTCATCTGTGACTGGACTTAAGGAAGAACAAAGAAACAGTGGGGTCACTCAGAGGAGAAGATGGTGAAATGCAAACGGGACACAGAAAGGGCTGAACTCCTCAATGCCTTCTTTGCCTCAGTCTTCTCCAATAAAGAAAACAATGCCCGACCTGAAGAATTTGGAGCAAATGATTCAGCAAAGGAAACACAGCCCAGAGTAACTAAGGAGATAGTACAAGAATACTTGGCTAGTTTAGATGTATTCAAGTCTCCAGGGCCAGATGAACTGCATCCAAGAGTATTAAAAGAACTGGCAGATGTGATCTCAGAACCACTGGCAGTCATCTTTGAGAATTCCTGGAGAACAGGCGAAGTCCTGGCAGACTGGAGGAGGGCAAATGTTGTCCCTATTTTCAAAAAGGGGGAAGAGAGGACCCAAATAATTACCGCCCAGTCAGTCTGACATCAATACCAGGGAAGATTCTGGAGCAGATCATTAAGCAAACAGTCTGTGAGCACCTAGAAAGGAATGCTGTGATCACCAATAGTCAGCATGGATTTCTGAACAATAAGTCATGTCAGACTAACCTGATCTCGTTTTTTGACAGAATTACAAGCATGGTAGATGAAGGGAACGCAGTGGATGTAGCCTACCTTGATTTCAGCAAGGCATTTGACAAGGTGCCCCATGATATTCTTGTAAAGAAGCTGGTAAAATGCGGTCTTGACTATGCTACCACTCAGTGGATTTGTAACTGGCTGACTGACCGAACCCAAAGGGTGCTCATCAATGGTTCCTCTTCATCCTGGAGAAGAGTGACTAGTGGGGTGCCACAGGGTTCTGTCTTGGGCCCGGTCTTATTCAACATCTTTATCAACGACTTGGATGATGGACTCAAGGGCATCCTGATCAAATTTGCAGATGACACCAAACTGGGAGGGGTGGCTAACACCCCAGAGGACAGGATCACACTTCAAAACGACCTTGACAGATTAGAGAACTGGGCAAAAACAAACAAGATGAATTTTAACAGGGAGAAATGTAAAGTATTGCACTTGGGCAAAAAAAATGAGAGGCACAAATACAAGATGGGTGACACCTGGCTTGAGAGCAGTACATGTGAAAAGGATCTAGGAGTCTTGGTTGACCACAAACTTGACATGAGCCAACAGTGTGACGCGGCAGCTAAAAAGCCAATGCAATTCTGGGCTGCATCAATAGGAGTATAGCATCTAGATCAAGGGAAGTAATAGTGCCACTGTATTCTGCTCTGGTCAGACCTCACCTGGAGTATTGTGTCCAGTTCTGGGCACCACAGTTCAAGAAGGACACTGACAAACTGGAACGTGTCCAGAGGAGGGCAACCAAAATGGTCAAAGGCCTGGAAATGATGTCTTATGAGGAACGGCTAAGGGAGCTGGGCATGTTTAGCCTGGAGAAGAGGAGGTTAAGGGGTGATATGATAGCCATGTTCAAATATATAAAAGGATGTCACATAGAGGAGGGAGAAAGGTTGTTTTCTGTTGCTCCAGAGAAGTGGACACGGAGCAATGGATCCAAACTACAAGAAAGAAGATTCTACCTAAACATTAGGAAGAACTTCCTGACAGTAAGAGCTGTTTGACAGTGGAATTTGCTGCCAAGGAGTGTGGTGGAGTCTCCTTCTTTGGAGGTCTTTAAGCAGAGGCTTGACAACCATATGTCAGGAGTGCTCTGATGGTGTTTCCTGCTTGGCAGGGGGTTGGACTCGATGGCCCTTGTGGTCTCTTCCAACTCTATGATTCTATGATTCTATGTATTTTCCAGTCCAGGAACAGAAAATAGGTTCCAGGGCCCAGCCCTGGTTCAGATTTAGATTTGTGAATTGCTCCTTCACACCACCCTTCTATATTCAAGCCTGTGGGTGGGAGAGAGAGGCAGGAAGTTCTGACAGGCTATTCTGTATTTGTGGGGTATGAGACATAAGAAGAACACGTCAGCTTAGCACAGCCTTTGCCAACCTGGTGCTCTCTGGATGCTTTGGGCATCTCATCATTCAATGGAGTTTCCTGTTGTCTTTGTCCATGGAGTTTTCTTGGCAGGGATACTGGAGTGGCTTGCCGGTGACAAACCTAGACAGTATCTTAAAAAGCAGAGACATCACCTTGCCATCAAAGGTCCGTATAGTTAAAGCTATGGTTTTCCCAGTAGTGATGTGTGGAAGTGAGAGCTGGACCATAAAGAAGGCTGATCGCCAAAGAATGGATGCTTTTGAATTCTGGTGCTGGAGACTCTTGAGAGTCCCATGGACTGCAAGAAGATCAAACCTATCCATTCTGAAGGAAATCAGCCCTGAGTGCTCACTGGAAGGACAGATCCTGAAGCTGAGGCTCCAAGACTTTGGCCACCTCATGAGAAGAGAAGACTCCCTGGAAAAGACCCTGATGTTGGGAAAGATGGAGGGCACAAGGAGAAGGGGACGACGGAGGACGAGATGGTTGGACAGTGTTCTCGAAGCTACCAGCATGAGTTTGACCAAATTGCGGGAGGCAGAGGAAGACAGGAGTGCCTGGCATGCTCTGGTCCATCGGGTCACGAAGAGTCGGACACGACTAAACAACTAAACAACAACAATGGAGTTTCAGTCCCAAACTTCCAGAGGTTTGAAATTGTCCTCTCAAACACCAGGAAGGCATCAGGTTTTAGGAAGGCTGGATAAGAGAGTTGGGTATGTACATGCCACCCGCAGTTCCTTGGGGTGGGGGGATAAATGTAGCTAAAAAAGTATAAGTACTCATCTCAGGCTCGTAAACAGAAACTCACCTATGGCGAGTCTGTTTTGCTTCCAGCAGACCAGTTTTTAACTTTTCAAAGCCACACGGGATCAAAAGGGTTAACCTCAGGCCTCGGGGCTGAATGCTGCCCTCCACGCCTCAGCCCCCAGGCCCAGTGTTAGAAATTAGCCAGGTGTGTTTTGCGACTGGGGCAGGTAAAATTGTAAACACACAGGGGATCTTCGGATGCCAGGCTGGCGACTGGAGAAAGCAAAAAATGTCACTTAGAAAAGGATCTAAAATATTTTCCTTGAATCTTGAATTTGTTTTATTCTGGATTGTTTTATTTGATGTTTTAATGTGTTGTAAACTGCTGTGGGATTTGTTCTTTAAAATATAAAGTAGAATAATATTTAATAATAATAATAAAAGGTAAAGGGACCCCTGACCATTAAGTCCAGTCGTGGCCGACTCTGGGGTTGCAGCGCTCATCTCGCTTTATTGGCCGAGGGAGCCGGCGTACAGCTTCCGGGTCATGTGGCCAGCATGACTAAGCCGCTTCTGGCGAACCAGAGCAGCGCACGGAAACGCCATTTACCTTCCCACCAGAGAGGTACCTATTTATCTACTTGCACTTTGTCGTTCTTTTGAACTGCTAGGTTGGCAGGAGCAGGGACCGAGAAATGGGAGCTCACCCCATCGCGGGGATTTGAACCGCCAACCTTCTGATCGGCAAGTGCTAGGCTCTGTGGTTTAACCCACAGCGCCACCCTTGTCCCCAATAATAATGCACTGCAAAAACAAAATACGGTGCCTAGACATTCTGTTGTGGCAACTGCAACCTAGGTTTAAGGTGCCATTTGGCAATTAGATGACAGTGGTACCTCGGGTTAATTACTTAATTCGTTCCGGAGGTCTGTTCTTAACCTGAAACTGTTCTTAAGCTGAAGAACCACTTTAGTTAATGGGGCCTGCTGCTGCCGCCGGCGCACAATTTCTGTTCTCATCCTGAAGCAAAGTTCTTAACCCGAGCTACTATTTCTGGGTTAGCGGAGTGTGTAACCTGAAGTGTCTGTAACCTGAAGCGTCTGTAACCCGAGGTACCACTGTATACATTTGGGCCCAGGCCACAATCAGCTCCACTTCACATCCTCCTTGTTTCTGCTCGAGTCAAATGTATCCTTAAACTCTGATCATGTTTTGCTTGTCTGTATAGAAAGGGGGGGGGCATGTATATAGAAATTAGGCTACATTCATTCCTTGTCCTACTTTGCCCTCTGGCCTGGCGAACCATTGGAATGCATCCCACTGAATAAGGTCATGTTCAATTCCTGGCAGGTGCTGGGAAAGGTTTCTCTCAGCCCAAGAGGCTGGGCATGGAGAATCGCTCCAGAAACCAGAAGGTGCCAAGACGGGCCAATTGCCTGGCCTGGGAGAGCGGCACCAGAGTCCAGCAACATCCGTCCTTGCAGGGGAAGCAAACTGCAACAGAGGTCTGCTGCAATGATACTCTCGACAGCAAATCAATACATATTTTAATTTCCAAGAGACAGAAAAATAGGCGAATTCACTCTGTTAAAAAAACAACACAGAAGGCCTCTCCCAATGGTAGTTTCATTATTTGGTCAGGTATGAAAGCTACATTTACACCAAGGGAGGATCACGGGCGGCTGGGGGGGGAAGGAAGAGGCAGAGGCAGGAAGGACTAAACCAGAACTGGAGCATCTTTGGCTGCATGTGAACCAGAGAGTATTATTTCCAAAGGAGCCAAATCACTGACCCTTTTCGCTCTCCCCTGAAAGCACCAGCAGGGTTCCAGCTCCCCCAGTTTCACCCTTGTATCCAAGGTTTGCTGATCAGAAGCTGGGCTTTTTTCGCCCGAGGCGTCTGCCCGCACCGGTTCCAACACGCCCTTCCTGCATAAACAAAAAGTCACCCCGAGGGCAGAACCGTGCGCCCGTTTTTGCAGCAGCTCAACCGTCAAAGCTCCCTCCCAAAGGATGCTGGGAGGTTGCTGTTGCGATCAGCTCCCGCTTGCAGGTTTCCCAAAACCTCTCCATTCTGAAGGAAATCAGCCCTGAGTGCTCACTGGAAGGACAGATCCTGAAGCTGAGGCTCCAAGACTTTGGCCACCTCATGAGAAGAGAAGACTCCCTGGACAAGACCCTGATGTTGGGAAAGATGGAGGGCACAAGGAGAAGGGGACGACAGAGGACAGTGTTCTCGAAGCTACCAGCATGAGTTTAAGCCAACCTGCGGGAGGCAGTGGGAGACAGGAGTGCCTGGCATGCTCTGGTCCAGGGGGTCACAAAGAGTAGGACACGACTAAATGACTAAACAACAAATTCGCTTGGCCACTTTAAGGTGCGGGTTTAAGATGGGTCACTGGCCCAGTTTGCATGCAGAAGGTCCCAGATTCGCTCCCCGTGGGGTTATGAGAGACTGCTGCCTCAAACCTTTCAGAGCTGCTGCCAGCCAGTGTACACAGTATGGAGCTGGATGGACCAATGGTCTCACTCAATGTAAGACGGCTTCCTGTGTTCCTATCCAGCAAGCTCTTCTGATGTGCTGAGAGCCTTGTGAGAGGTGCCCAGCCCCCTTCCAGGAGGGACAATTCCCAGAGTAGAAGGAATGTCTCTTAAAACCAGTTCTGCAACCATGTCTTAAGGGACACCTGACCTTTCAGGTCCCAGGGAGACAGAGAGATTAAAAGCTGGCTTTCCATCAGGGGGGGTGGGAATGCAACATCCTGTTTTCCCACCGCAAACTTGGGAGGGCAGAGCTGGCATGGGGCAGAGGAGAGAGACCCTGAAGTATGTGTCAGGATCCTGCTCAACAGCCCTTCTGACTCCAGGCGAAACAGCCCACCACATTGGTGCCCGCCTTGGTGAGCGTGCCAGGGCCCTCTGGCATGTGGGGCTAACTCCAGCCCTTTCTCACCTCGCACCTTCCCAATGTTTGGGTTCCAGTTCCCATCAGCCACAGCCAGTGCCGACGGGAGCCCAAAATGTTGAGAGGGTGCCAGGTTTTTGCAGAAGGCTGTGCTAAGGCTGTTTGGAACAGCTCAAGAGAAGGGTGGAGACAGTCTCCTGCCCATGTGCAGAGATCCCTGCCACCCTCCCTAGCTCCAAGGCTAGGGGTTTCTGTTTGGAAACTGCACTTGCTAAGGCAGCAGAATCTCTTTAGGTCTGACCACCCCCCACCCCACCAAATTCTGCTCCGGAACAGGGTAGGCTGGCGGCAGTTGCTTTTCAATGGGGACATGTGGGTCGGCAAGGGGTGAAGTTTGCCCACTATCGATCCCCACCACCACCTTTCCCAGCCTCCAAACCGTACTCTTGTCCCACACTGGCATGGCAACTCCTCAATAATCCTGAGACTGCAGCTCTGCAAAGAGAATCTGCCGCTTCCAGGGTTCTTTGGGCAAAGCCGTGACTGTTAAAAGAAAGCCGTCAACGAATGGGGTCGGTGTGTCTTGAGGATTTGTAGAACCTGAGATATACAGTCATACCTCGGGTTACAGATGCTTCAGGTTGCGTTTTTTCGGGTTACTGACCGCCGAAACCCGGAAGTACCGGAACGGGTTACTTCCAGGTTTCGGCAGTCGCGCATGCGCTAAATCACGCTTTGCGCATGTGCAGAAGCGCCGAATCACAACCCACGTGTGCATAGACGTGCCGCTGCGGGTTGCGAACGTGCATGCTGAACGGATCACGTTTGCAATCCGAGCGTCTACCATATGCCTATACATTTTGCCTGTTTTTGTCAGAAATGCTTCCTCTTGCAGTGTTGCCTCACCAACCAACCCCCAATAAAAAAGTAGAGAAAAATCTATGCAGGCCCCCAAGCATGGGTGCCCTGCAAAAGGCCAAGGACAATAGGGGTGTGCTGGGGTTCCAGCACCCACAAATGTTGGCAAGAGAAGCCTGTAGACCCCTGCAAAGGGACCGCACTTTGAGCGTTGGCAACCCTCCTCCTCCCTGTGGTTCAAACGACCAGCAATGGACCGTTTCGTGGAATACTGGGGTGGGAATGAAGTTCTGGTTGTTCAAAAATGGAGGTTAGAGATGTGGTGCAATATTCAGGGCACCCCAGAAGGGGTAGCACCCCGCAAAGAAAGCAAGACGGAGGCACGTGTTTGATTTTACAAGGCTTTTAAGATCCAGCTCCACCTAGCGTGGCTGAGTTTCTCCTTCAGCCCTGGGGAGGCAAGTAGGAAAGGCACCGTGGGGAAGGTCTCAGGCTGGGGGGCTGGCAGCACAACCCAGCCACCCCCGAAAACTGTCAAGTACTGAGGTAAATTCAAGTAGAGAAAAAGTTAAGGCCCACGAGGCCCACCGGGAACCTCATTTTAAGGGCAGAAATTGGAGGCACTGTGGTGAAAACTGGGCGGGGTGTGTGTGTAGTTGTTTAAGGCCACAGGTTTTCTAGGAGTTGTCAGAAGAGGGGGGAGGAGACTGCACATAGCTGCTTACCCCAGCCCCTTCCCTCCAAGGCTGGCACCCTGCCCTCCTCCCTCACAAGGCATCTGGGCCCCCCAGGCAAGGCATACTTTCGCTCGACACTGCGGAACGGGGAACGACTTCTCCCAAAAATGGCAGCCGGACTGCAGCAAGAGAGTGTCTTTACAGTCGCTTTCTGTTCAAAACAAAAAACCAGTCCGGCAATTTGACCGAGGCAAACGGTCACAAATTCCCAGTCCTTGATCTTGCAATCAATCCATCCTTTTGCAACCTGAACCTCTTTTGCCAACAAGTCGTTCTGCGAGAACAGCGGCTCGGAGCTCCAGGCCTTAGTTTCGGAGTCCTGCAGGGCTGCTGCTGAGAAGCACCCCTTTCTCAACGCAGGAGAGTTTTGCTGGTGGGGATCAAGAGTTCCGGAATGGTCCTTTGGCACATGCGAAGGAGGAGCGCGCCACGAAGCGTGCGCCGTGATGCGAGGAAGGTGCTGACGCCCGCCATCGTCCCTGACCTGGATGTCAAAGCACCCGTCCTCCCAGTTTGCTGGCAAATGAAGACACTTCTTTCTGGGGCATGATCCTAGCAAGGGAACTGAAGGGTGAGAGGGGGTCTCCCTCCCATGGTTCATGGCTAGTCAAGTCAAGACAAGAGTCACCCTGTTGCTTTTTTGTCCATCTCGTTCTCCTTGGCGGCTCAGCTGTACAGGCCTCCCTCCTCTTCCTCTTTGGCCTTGACCTCCCTCAAGCCCCCCACGTCTGGGACCACCTGCTCCAGCCCCTGATCTCTGGAGGGGCCGCTCCACGAGCCCTCGGGGGTGCTGCCAGGAGCCAGCCATGGGTGCAAGAGGATCCCGCTGGCCGTCAGCCTCTCAGATGGGTCCTTTCGCAGGAGGCAGCGGATGAGGCAGCAGGCTTTGGGCGAGAGGTCTTCGGGGACGGCAAAGCGCCCGCGGCGGATCTTGCCAAAGAGAGACAGGGGTTTGGTGTCTTGGAAGGGGTAGCACCCCACGAGGAGGGTATAGAGCACCACGCCTAGGCTCCAGATGTCAGCAGCCTTGCCAGAGTAGGACGCCTTGGAGCTGAGGATCTCGGGACCCACGTAGGCCGGGCAGCCGTGCTTGTCCTCCAAGGAGTCGTCAGGACCTTTCAGCAAACACGAGTCCTCCAGATTCTCCAGCAGCAGTTTGGATCTGGGCAGAAATCCAAGGGGAGAGTTAGCCAGGAGCCAGAGATCACTCAAAGGCAGAATACAATGGAATACAGTGGTACCTCGGGATGCGAACAGGATCCGTTCCGGAGCCCCGTTCGCATCCTGAAGCAAACGTAAGACGTGACTGCGCCGCTTCTGCGCATGCACTGAAGTCATTTTGAGCATCTGCGCATGCGCAAGTGGCAAAACCCAGAAGTAACACACTCTCTTACTTCCGGGTCACCGCGGAGCGCAACCTGAAAATATTCATCCCGAAACTACTTCAGCCTGAGGTGTGACTGTACAATGGAAAAGCACCCCTAATTTTACAACTGGGAAAGCTGAATTCTGCAATAGGGATGGATCAGTCAAGCTTGGGAGCAGATTCACAGTTTGGTTGTATAACTGATGGATCCCCCCTTTTCTTGGTTTTAAGGAGTTTGGGTTCTCCTCCCCGCCCCCTGAATTATTTGAATGATTCTGTTGGGGAAGAAGCACAAGACATTTTAGGAGGAATATAGGCAGGTATGGCACAAACATTTTAAAAACAACTCTGGACACTTAATTTGGATCAGTCAATCTGCAATAAGCCATAAACCTGAGTACTGAACAGTACGATTGCATCTTACTTATGCACGAGTTCAGTTCCAAGGGTCCTACATGTACAGGGTAATTTCTTGTACCCAAATCCTTGGAACCACCCTGCAGCTAATGGGTTGGAGGAAGGAAGGAAGGAAGGAAGGAAGGGCATTCTGAGCACTCTCAGAGCCTAGAGAGAGCTTAAAAGCACTTTACGCACTGGGTAACCCTAAGCAGACCCGTTGCAAAAAGAGCTTTTAAGCTCTCCGCCTTGGAGAGTTTACTTGCTGTCCTGGACTGGGTGGATGCAGAGGAATGGTGGGAGCCTGGAGAACCCCCAAGGGAGGAAGGCTCACGTCGTCATGATGGGACGACAATGAGTGGTCAGAGGGAGAAGACAGGGAAGAGAAGGTGTCGGAAGCTGAAGTGGCAACAGGGCTTAGTGAGCGGGGAGAGTCTGTGGCAGAGAGCAGTCCAGAATCAGAGGCAGAAGTGGAAGCAGGAGGGTGGGATGAGGGAGACAAGAGGCAGAGAGGAGTCTGGCTGGTGAAGAGGCACAGGTTTCTTCCCTTCCTGCTGCAACAAGCTCTCTTCCTGCCTGGTCTCCCAGAACCAGGAGAGGTATGAAGTGAGAGGAGCAAAGGAACGGAAGGATATACAGGCACAGTCTCTGATTGCTTGCAAAACACCCTGGAGAGGAGATATAATCTTTAGGGAGGTGGGGATCTTTAGCCTTGGCAACCGGTACATGGGAGCAAGACCTGAGTTGCTGCGCTTATTAGGCCTGACACTCCTGTGCAGATCTTGTTTTGCTAATAAAGCGTTAACTCCAGAAATATCCTGATTCTGTGCATTAGCAATTGGAGGGTGGGCCACAAGTGAATATTCTGAACAACCATGTCTATTCAGAAGTAAGTTCCATCGTGTTCAAGGGGCACAGCTCCCAGGTAGATGTGAATTATGGCTTTACTTTCAACTAGACATGGATGGGATTGCCGTGCAATTGGTATTACTTTGTAATCGCCACCTTTATTAAACAAGAAACAGCTTTCTCGGTGTGATTTCCTGCTGGCTTGCTCGCGGCAGCTTCCACTAGCCAGCTGATGGTTGAAATCGCCCAAGTTAAATGCGCCTCTGATGAGCTCGTGCCGCGCATAATGTCCAGTGGAGCTGATCAAGTGAGCAGGAAAGTGTCAACAGATGCCCCTTCTCACCCCCTCACCTTTCTTGGTCAGCAAACACGAATTTCCGCAGTTTGAGGTCTCGGAGGACCACACCGTGCTGGTGGCAGTGGGCGACCGCTTCGGCCATCTGACGGAAGAGGACAGCAGCCTTGGGCTCGGGAAGGCGCTTGCACCGCCGCACATAGTTATGCATGTCGTCCCTCCCAGGCTGGAAGAAGACGTAAATGTTCTGGTCCCCAACAATCACATCCTCCACACGGGCGATGTTGGGATGCGCTGGAAGGGCGGCGTAAGGGGCCAGCGCCTCTGGGTAGCTCTTGGCTGGATAGACCTAAAAAGAAGGAGCAAATTGTTACAAGGAAGCAAATGAGCAGAACAAGCGCAAAAGCAGCGCACAGTTAACCTGTGGAACTCGCTGCCACAGTAGGCAGTGGTGGCTTTAAAAGACAAATGCATGGGCACTCTTAACAGCGCAATCCTATCCATGTCTGCTTGGAAGTAAAGCTATCGTTCACTTCTACCTAGAAGCAGGGCCCCTTGAACACAATGGGAATTACTTCAGAGTAGGCATGGCTAGCCTTGTTAAGTGTGTTTTTCTCTCCACCAAAAAAATGCTAATGCATAAAATACGTTCCCGTCTTTCAGATGTCATTATTGTTTAGACACTCCTTTCCAATGTTAATTTTCGCTTTTTAACCCATCAGTATTTCTTGGCTTTTTGAGGTTTTTAAATGGATACTTTTCGTTGCTTCTACTCTTATATATTGCATATATGAAAGTGTGAATTATGGCTTTACTTTCAATTAGACATGGATGGCATTGCCCTGCGATTGACATTACTTTGTAACCACCTCCTTTATTAAATAAGAAACAGCTATTTTATTGTCCAGTGACAGAAAACCTTGCATTTTTTTCTCTGTATATCTTGCTGGGCCCTAACTGGAGAAAAATAATAATTCTCCGTTTAATAGAAACACTTTAGAGAAAAGTGTGTGTGTGTGTGTGTGTCCCCGTGTGCGTGTCCTTTCTTTATTTGACTCCCCTTTCATTCTGCACCAATAGAGTTGTGGCCATTTTTGTCCATGGTTCACTAATTCCCCAAAAAAGTGCCCAGAGAAAAAGTGCCACAGAAAATAAAATCGATGTTGGAAAATTAAAGTCTTTGGTGAGCTTAAGGCAGAGGAGCTTCTAGGGGAGCTGGGCTTCCCTCCTTCCAAAGAGAACACCCCCCTCCAAAAGCACATAATCCTCAAGTCTTTTCATAGTACATAAGTAAACTTGGTGGGTTGGGAGTTGGAGGAAAGGGAGTTTTTCAGAAACAATGGCCAACTCAAAGCGGCCATGACATTCCATGTTCAGCCAGCAGGTGTCAGCGTAGCTCAGCCGCTAGCAGCTCTGCCAAAAATGGCATCCTTGGGAAAAATAATATTGTGGCACTTCATAAAAGACACCCAAATTTATCATGGCATAAGGCAGCTTCGCCAAGCCAGTGCCCTCCAGACGTTTTGGATTGCAGCTCCTATTAGCCACAGTCAGTGTGCGTCCAAAACATATAGAGGGCACCGGCTGGGCAAAGGTTGGCATAATCATTCTGACCCAGAAACTCCAGCGGGTGCAGAATGCCGCGGCGAGGCTCCTTACGGGGATCACATTCATCCAGTGCTTTACCAACTTCACTGGCTCCCAGTGGAGTACAGGGTCAGGTTTAAGGTCTGGTTTTGACCTTTAAAGCCTTATGCAGCCTAGGACCCATGTACCTATGGGACCGCCTCTCCTGGTATGCCCCGCAGAGGACCTTTAGGTCCACAAATGACAACACTTTGGAGGTCCCAAGTCGCAAGGTGGTTAGATTGGTCTCCACTAGGGCCAGGGCCTTTTCAGTACTGGCCCCGACTTGGTGGAACGCTCTGTCACAAGAGACTAGGGCCCTGTGGGACTTGACATCTTTCCGCAGGGCCTGCAAGACAGAGCTGTTCCGCCTGGCCTTTGGTTTGGACTCGGTCTGACCCTTATGTTTCCCTCCCCTTATGGTTTTGATCTATGGGCTACTTTTAAAATGAGGCTGCATTTTAAATTGCATTTTAAACCTGTATTTTAAATTCCCCCCCCCCCCATTGTTTTTATTGTAATTTTACTGATGTTAGCTGCCCTGAGCCCAGCTCTGGCCAGGGAGGGCGGGGTATAAATAAAAATTTATTATTATTATTATAGACTCTAGTCCACAAATGACTATTATGCACCGTTATAAAGTTGTTTGCCTTTAAAGTGCCACAGGACTCTTCCTTTTTCAACAAAGGGTTAACAAAACACCATTTTCTCCAGCAGGTTTCCTACCTTGCAGGTGTATTCTGCCTCCGTATGTCTGTCCACAGCCCTGTAGCAGCGGCCGCCTTCGGTGGCCTCCAGTAGGATATATGGGCCAATCTGGGATATCCCCGACTCCCGGTCTGTGGCAGGAAGGGGGCTAGAGGCAAGGGGTTGGAGGCAAGGGCTTGGGCTTGGCAGCAGGCTGAGACGCGGGCGCTTGGCTTCTGGGATACTGGTCTCAGATGCATCATCAAGGTCCAGCCGCTGCTTCTTCTGCGATGCAACGACCAGAGGGCACTCCTGCGCAAGCAGACTCATCTGGAGGGGGAAAGTTAGGAGAGCAAGGGGTTAATCAAAAGGGTCAAGGGGGCACAGCTAGATGACCAAGGGAGCTAAGACCCCTTAATGTATAACGCCCAATCTGCACTTGATCATTTATTGTGGCAGCACCAGAACTTTGGAAATCCCTGCCTATTGATATTCCTGTAATTTTTTCGGCACATTTTTGTTTAGGCAAGCCCACCCGGATATTTAGAAAGCTGGTGCGAGTTTTTAATCTGTTTTTAGTCTATTGCTACTTTAATTTTTGGAAAATCTTAAACTGATGTTAATTTTTCCTATCGATAAAATTTTATTATTATTATTTTTGTAAACCACTTTCCCCCTCTGTTAACTTATTTACAGATACTTATTCTTAGATATACAAAGATACACACCCGTTACAAAGTAGCTTTTTATAATATACTAAGGAAAGCAGCTACTTAAGTCTAAAAAAGAACAAAGAAGAAAAGACGAGAAAATGAGAGACCTAAAAAAGAGAAAGGGAATGAAAGGAAAAACTACAGTACAGTGTTTTTTGTAAACCACTTTCAGGGTCTTTTTCAGGTTTCTTTTTCAATCAAGCAGTATATAAATTTTATGCAATAAACAGATATCCATTCCTAGCCCTGTTACTAGTCCTCAGTGTCTGGTATTAAGCAACAGGCCATCTTTAGAAACTGAGATTGTGGACATGAGAACCGGCGGATGTCTGCCTTTGGGGTCAGCCTCAGGTTCTTAACAGCGCCCTTATTTCTCATTTAACATTGACAGAACTACCAAGTGCTTTCTTTCCCTAGGGGTATGCATACCCCTTTGTGGCTTAGGGCCCTCGTATCTACGGGACCGCCTCTCCTGGTCTGCCCCACAGAGGACTTTAAAGTCCATGAATAACCATAGTTTAGAGGTCCCTAAGGAAGTCAGACTATCCTCCACCAGGGCCAGGGCCTTCTCAGTGATGGCTCCCACCTGGTGGAATGCTCTATCTCATGAGACCAGGATTTAACTTCCTTCCGCCGGGCCTGTAAGACAGAGCTATTCCGCCTGGCCTTTAATCTGAATTCAGCCTGATCTTTTATTTCCCTTCTCTTCCCTCCCCCTCCCCTTTTATGAAGATCACCCACTCTGAGACCCCACAGCTAATTCTCCCCTGGCCTCCACACTGGCCCAAATAGGAATAATTTAGCCAGCTAGCCCTGGTGATCATCTAATGTTTATTGGATAGATTTCCCCCCCCCCATTGATTTTTGAATTTTATAGTTATTCATGTTTTTTATACTGTATTTTATGCTGCTTTTACATTAAGTGTTTTAAATTTGTTGTTAGCCGCCCTGAGCCCGGTTTTCTGAACTGGGAAGGGCGGGGTATAAATAAAAAAATATTTATTTATTATTTATAAACATTTGTGAATCTAACGGGAGAAGAAACTGAAAATAAATAAATAGTTTATTCTCTAGCATGGTGAATCGTCAGTTCCGTTGCTACCCGCGATGGCGGCCTCATTTCCTGCCACTGTGTTTCCTGAGTCTCAGACGAAATAGGAATACCCCTAAACTTTTTTTGGAGGCGAAAGCACTGGAACTACCCAAAGGGCATTGAAGAAGACAGCAGTATACATTAAAGCAGGGGTCAGCAAACTTTTTCAGCAGGGGGCTGGTCCACTGTCCCTTAGACCTAGTGGGGGGCCGAACTATATTTTTTGGGGGGGAAACGAATGAATTCCTATACCCCACAAATAACCCAGAGATGCATTTTAAATAAAAGCACACATTCTACTCATGTAAAAACAAGGTGATTGGGCCAGATCCGGCCCCCGGGCCTTAGTTTGCCTACCCATGCATTAAAGGCTATAGTGTTGTTGTTTTTAAAAACAACAACCAACCACCCAGATAACAATATGTAACATATTGATAAAAAGGTAAAGGGACCCCTGGCCATTAGGTCCAGTCATGGCTGACTCTGGGGTTGTGGCGCTCATCTCGCTTTATTGGCCAAGGGAGCCGGCGTACAGCTTCTGGGTCATGTGGCCAGCATGACTAAGCTGCTTCTGGCGAACCAGAGCAGCACACGGAAACGCCGTGGGGCCGAGCAACGGGAGCTCACCCCGTCGCAGGGATTCGAACCGCCGACCTTCTGATCCGGAAGTCCTAGGCTCTGTGGTTTAACCCACTGCGCCACCAGCGTCCCTTTTAACATATTGATAACAATGTGTAATAAAAAAAGGGCATCATTACGAAACCTTTACACCCATTCAAAACAACACCAGTGATTTAACAGCACCGGAAGTGTGAAACCTTTTCACCCATCTCCTCCTCAACCGGACAGAAATGCTGCAAAATAAGAATTCTCTGGGGAAGGCGAGTTCCACACGCACCACTGCCGCAGAAAACCACCTGCTCTGCAGTGTCCACCAAATGTAATTAAAAAAAAAAAAATCAAAAAGATTAAGGAGAAAGAAGTGAGTCTCCCAGCAACAGTTTCTCCCTCAGAGGTTCTGGACCCTGGGAGCTTCAGTTATTGCTAAACACTTCATCATCTCATACGCCTGAAAACTTTGGGGCAATTGCTTTCGAGGGATGGAAGCGCAGGGTTGAAGCTCACAGCTGGTGCTAGCAGAAAGCGCATTGCTCCACGCAAGTCATTGTGGAAAGTCTTACACAGTCTCCACCCCACGCCCGGCTTCCGAATTTTTCAAAATCAGTCTCGTCCCTACCATTCTCACCTTATCTTCCTAATAAGAGCAGACTGACTCTCAAGATGCTACAAACACCAATTTTCACTTGGTTGTAGAAGTCATGACTTAGCAGCACTGCCAGTGCCAGATTTACGTATAAGCTAATCCATGGGTAGGCAAACTAGGGACCGGATCCGGCCCAAACGCCTTCTCAATCCAGCCCACAGACGGTCCGGGAATCAGCGTGATTCTACATGAGCAGAATGTGTCCTTTTATTTAAAATGCATCTCTGGGTTATTTGTGGGGCGTAGGAATTCGTTCATTCCCCCCCCCTTCAAAATATAGTCCGGCCTCCCACAAGGTGTGAGGGACAGTGGACCGGCCCCCTGCTGAAAAAGTTTGCTGACCCCTGAGCTAAACAAGCTATAGCTCAGGGGCCCACTCCCTTGGGCCCCCCCCCAAAAAAACTAAAGAAAAAAACACCTGGATGTACATTTCCAAAATATAAGCTAAAAAACAAATAAAATGAAACCTACATACAGCAACAGTGTTTTCTGTTGTGTAGGCGCCTATTTGTTATGTGCAAATGGCTTTAGATACCTATTAGGTCCATAAATTACCATATAGCATATATTCAAGACAAAAAACAGTGACAATTTGTTGTTGACAAAGGACAGCTAGACATATAAAGGGCCCCATTCAGTAGCTTAGGGCCTCATCAAACCTACATCTGGCCTTGGGACATGTACACCCACCCACACAGCCCTCCCTGTGCAACTGACCGTCACAATAAACAGTGGCAATGAGTTCTGCAGGGGCTACTTGTGCAATGTGTGGGGAGAAAACCACGGTGCCCAGGCATGCAAAGGTAAAAACAGCGCTGCTGGGTGCAGTCCACCCACAAAACGTAGAGGGAAATTTGCCAGCCTGCCAAGGTAGCCTTGCCAACCCTGTTTGCTCCCAGGAGTCATCAGAGGGCAGAGTTTATGAGCTGTCTTTGCTGCCTCCCGTGCCAGAAGCTGATGGCTTGAGAGAACAATGGGGCAAGCAATGTTTTGCATGTACAATGAGGCATGAGGGTGTTTGCCTCAGGGATGGGTGGGTATTGAATCATCACACACAGCAAGGTGGTCAGAATGTTGGCAGCCAGACTGGGGACTGGGAGTGGCCGCCAAGACCATATAACACCGGTCCTGAAAGACCTTCATTGGCTCCCAGTATGTTTCTGAGCACATTTCAAAGTGTTGGTGCTGACCTTTAAAGCTCCAAATGGCCTCATCCCAGTATACCTGAAGGAGCGTCTCCACCCCCATTGTTCTACCCGGACACTGAGGTCCAGTGCTGAGGGCCTTCTGGCGGTTCCCTCCCTACGAGAAGCCAAGTTACAGGGAACCAGGCAGAGGGCCTTCTCGGTGGTGGTGCCCGCCCTGTGGAACGCCCTCCCACCAGATGTCAAGGAAATAAACAACTATCTGATTTTTAAAAGACATCTGAAGGCAGCCCTGTTTAGGGAAGTTTTTAATGTTTGCTCTTTTATTGTGTTTTTAATATCCTGTTGGGAGCTGCCCAGAGTGGCTGGGGAAGCCCGGCCAGATGGGCAGGGTATAAGTAATAAATTAATTATTATTATTACTACTACTACTACTTAAACCAGGGTTAGAAAAGGTAAAGGTACCCCTGCCCGTACGGGCCAGTCTTGACAGACTCTAGGGTTGTGCGCTCATCTCACTCTATAGGCCAGGAGCCGGCGCCGTCCGCAGACACTTCCGGGTCACGTGGCCAGCGTGACAAGCTGCATCTGGCGAGCCAGCGCAGCACACGGAACGCCGTTTACCTTCCCGCTATAAAGCGGTCCCTATTTATCTACTTGCACCCGAGGGTGCTTTTGAACTGCTAGGTTGGCAGGCGCTGGGACCGAGCAACGGGAGCGCACCCCGCCGCGGGGATTCGAACCGCCAACCATGTGATCGGCAAGTCCTAGGCGCTGAGGTTTTACCCACAGCGCCACCCGCGTCCCTTACAGACACCAAAATGGAAAGCCTGTGTGCCATTTGGGGGCCAGACAGCTCAAAAGTCATATTTTTCCATACGACTTTTTGCTACCTGAAATTCATTCTGATTGTGCAGGTGAAGTGTCATGGATAGGATTCTACAGCATGTGTTCCTAGTGAGTGAGAACAGGCAAGATCAAGGATCGCCAGGCATGCGGCATCTTCGCTTGTTCGCAAATAGCCGGTAGATAGGTGCAAAATGTGCCTGGCGAATTTCGAAAGCTAGGAGAGTCAACCTGCTTCCTCCGAGGATTCAGCTCCGTGCATTTCCAGGATTCCGGACAGGAGTGTCTCCCACCCCTACCTGGAGATGCCAGGGATGAAACTTGGAACCTTCTACATATGAAGCAGGACGCGGGTGGCGCTGTGGGTTAAACCACAGAGCCTAGGGCTTGCTGATCAGAAGGTTGGCGGTTCGAATCCCCGTGACGGGGTGAGCTCCCGTTGCTCGGTCCCAGCTCCTGCCAACCTAGCAGTTTGAAAGCACATCAAAGTGCAAGTAGATAAATAGGCACCGCTCCAGCGGGAAAGGAAACGGCGTTTCCGTGCGCTGCTCTGGTTCACCAGAAGCGGCTTAGTCATGCTGGCCCAGAAGCTGTATGCCGGCTCCCTCGGCTAATAATAATAATAATAATAATAATAATAATTTATTAATTTATTAATTATACCCCGCCCATCTGGCTGGGTTTCCCCAGCCACTCTGGGCAACTTCCAACAGAACACTAAAATACAATAACCTATTAAACATTAAAAGCTTCCCTGAACAGGGCTGCCTTCAGATGTCTTCTAAAAGTCTGGTAGTTGTTTATCTCTTTGACATCTGGTGGGAGGGCGTTCCACAGGGCGGGTGCCACTACCGAGAAGGCCCTCTGCTTAGTTCCCTGTAACTGGGCTTCTCGCAGCGAGATGAGAGCCGCAACCCCAGAGTCGTCTGCTACTGGACCTAATGGTCAGCGGTCCCTTTACCTTTACATACGAAGCAGGTGTCCTGCCACTGACCTGTGGCCCTTGGTAGCCCAAGGTGATGGAAGGGGGCTGATGGAGAGGGAGGCTGGGCGTGGAAGGAGAAAGGCAGCCCAACAGTTTGGGGTCTAGGATGGAGATACCCAACTAGGCTTCATGTTGGAAGAATCGGGACAAGTAAAATACTTCCTCACGCAGTGCAAAGTTAAATATGCAACTCCTTGCCACAGGAGGCAGGGATGGACACCAAACTGGGTGGCTTTAAAAGAGGACTGGATATATTGATGTAGGAGAAGGCTCTTGGTGGCTCTATGCTGCCTCCAGGTTCGAATACCAGTTGCTGGAAGGAAGAGTGGTCTTGCCCTCCGATCTTGCTTACGGGTTCCCATAATGGGCATCTGGGCTGGCTGGCAAGAACAAAATGCTGGACCAGGTGGGCCCCCTGCGGCCTGATCTTGCAGGTTCTTCTTCAGAGACCTGCAAACTCCAGAGGTTCCCAAAGCCTCTCTGCGGATGGAGGACGTGGGAAGCTGGAGGAAGAAGAAGAAGAAGAAGAAGAAGAAGAAGAAGAGGAGGAGGAGGAGGAGGAGGAGGAGGAGGAGTTTGGATTTGATATCCCGCCTTTCACTCCCCTTCAGGAGTCTCAAAGCGGCTAACATTCTCCTTTCCCTTCCTCCCCCACAACAAACACCCTGCGAGGCGAGTGGGGCTGAGAGACTTCAGAGAAGTGTGACTGGCCCAAGGTCACCCAGCAGCTGCATGTGGAGGAGTGGAGACGCGAACCCGGTTCACCAGATTACAAGACTACCGCTCTTAACCACTACACCACACTGGCTCTCTCTCACACACACTGGAAAAGCTGTGCTGCCTCTCCCAGTAGCAGCCCCTGATCTCGCTCACCAAACGAAAGGAGCAGCCATCAACCTGAGAGGAGTTAGAAGCAAATGACGTCTCTTCTGCCCAGATTAAGTAAAGGTGCAGTACACCTCTGGGCACTCAGGCATGGTGGGAGATACATGTGCAAGGATTTGCAAAAGAAAATAATTTGCACAACCTGTGCAAGGATTTGCAAAAGGACATCATTTGCACAAACATAATTGAATGCAGACACAACCTTGATGCCAGAAAGTGAGGAGGAATTAAAGAACCTTTTAATGAGGGTGAAAGAGGAGAGCGCAAAATATGGTCTGAAGCTCAGCATCAAAAATCAAAGATCATGGCCACTGGGCCCATCACCTCCTGGCAAATAGAAGGGGAAGAAATGGAGGCAGTGAGAGATTTTATTTCTTGGGCTCCATGATCACTGCAGATGGTGACAGCAGTCACAAAATTAAAAGACACCTGCTTCTTGGGAGAAAAGCAATGACAAACCTAGACAGCATCTTAAAAGGCAGAGACATCACCTTGCCAACAAAGGTCCATATAGTTAAAGCTATGGTTTTCCCAGTAGTGATGTATGGAAGTGAGAACTGGACCATAAAGAAGACTGATCCCCGAAGAATGGATGCTTTTGAATTCTGGTGCTGGAGGAGACTCTTGAGAGTCCCATGGACTGCAAGAAGATCAAACCTCTCCATTATTAAGGAAATCAGCCCTGAGTGCTCACTGGAAGGACAGATCCTGAAGCTGAGGCTCCAAGACTTTGGCCACCTCATGAAAGAGAAGACTCCCTGGAAAAGACCCTGATGTTGGGAAAGATGGAGGGCACAAGGAGAAGGGGACGACAGAGGACGAGATGGTGGGACAGTGTTCTCGAAGCTACAAACATGAGCCTGACCAAACTGCGGGAGGCAGTGGAAGACAGGAGTGCCTGGTGTGCTCTGGTCCAGGGGGGCACAAAGAGTCGGACACGACTAAACGACTAAACAACAACAACGTGCATGATTTGCAAAAGGACATCATTTGCACAACCTGTGCAAGGATTTACAAAAGGACATCATCTGCATAAACATAATTGAATGCAGGAGGCGAAGAGAGGCTGCCTTTTCGTCACTACAAGCTGCCTGCGGGCACTGCCTTCCAAAACAGGGAGCAGAGGTTTCCAGAACTGTATGCAAGCGGAAGAGCGTGCCAGCCTCAAGGCTCCAAATGCCTCCAGAGAGACTGCAGGGAGGAGCTTTCAGCTATCTCTCTTTCACTTGCTCTCATCAGCAAGGAAAATAAGTGGATGATGCAAACAGAGCGCAAGTCCCCCAGCCTCCACCCCCCTCTCTCTGCTGACCCAGGAACAAGGTTGCCTTGAGGTCACACCTTTCTTCTTGGCAACAAGATCTCTGCATTCCCCAACCTGGATTTCCTGAGAAAAGACTGTGAGCTATCCAGGACTAAGCAAGGAAAGAAACACTCTTGTCTATGCTCAAAGCTCTGATCCCTTAGTTTCTGTTTCACATGTATTACTAACTCAGTGCGGTTCCAGAACTGTGCTTTACTATATACACACACAGACACCCTTAAAAGTACAGTTATAAAGGTTTGCTTATATTTACTCACTTGCAAAAAATAAATTAAAAATGCCAACCCTCTTTAAAAATTATCGTGGCAGTTAAACAGCATAAAGATGAACAGTAAGATTACAAACACAACATGTAACAGAAGAAATAAAACTTTCATTCCAAATCAGTAGCTGAAATCACTAAGTCAGTCGGTAGTGCATGAGACTCTAATCATGGGTTCAATATTTCTGCATTGCCGCGGGTTGGACTAGATGACCAGTAGGGTCCCTTCCAAGGCTGCAATTCTATGAAATCCAGACATCCACCTAGATGAATTGCCCCACTGGGAAAGCTTGGAACCAGGAAATCAGCCACCATCAGCCTTTCCTAAGTGCTCAGAGTCCATTGCATGCATTATATCAGTAACTTTTACAACAGTCTTGTAGGGTAGACCAATGTCACTACCTCCATTCTACAAGTGGGGGCCCAGGCCGTTAAGAAAATGGTTTGCTGAAGGCCTCCTAGTTTGTGGCTCCTGAGATTTGACTCAGTGACTTCCCAATTCCCACTCAATCTCCAGGGGGCAAACGTCACCTTATGGAAAAATATCATTGTTTAAAACCAGCCCTCACTTTCCCCCTCCCTAGGAAAACAGCAGTTTCTGCAAAGGGCAATTTTGAGTGGCAAAGCAGCAGAAGAGGGGTATTTAACCCCTTCCCTGTCAGCTGCTGCTTTCAACCTAAGCTCCCGGGTGCAGTTTTGCCGTGGTAAAGACACCTGCAATCCTGGTGCAGCTGGGGAAAATTTGGAGCAAGAGAACAGCCAGCAGGAAACTCTAAGCCCGCCTTCCCCAACCTGATGCCCTCCAGATGTTTTGCACTACAAATCCCATCAGCCCAAGCCAGCACAGCCATACACATCTTCACATACAATGTGCCCTTTGGCTTTTGCAGCTGCTGCACTGATTATCGCTACACCATCTTTTACTTCTGTCCTTCGTTGCTGGATTATTGATCCAGACCGACATGCAGTTGTATCCTATGGGCTCTGTCACAGTATCTGTCATGGCAACAATATTTTGAGGAGGGGGTAGGGTGGGCATTGCAGTTCCTCAGCTGTTTTCCCCACTCACAACTATGTTCGTTACAAAGACACCCCACCCTGCTCCAATTTCAAAAAGAAACTCTGCACATGTACAGATTTGGTCTGACCCAAATCAGATACTGCAGACTCCACATGGAACCCTTTGGAAAAAGTGGTCTGGGTCAGGCCTCTGAGCACTGGGCACCCTCCTTTGAAAGAGGCTGCCACTCACTTGATCACCTGTGACTAGTTTAGAATCGCCCCAGGCGACCAGAGAGGGGAAAGCAAATGCCATTTAGTTGCGGCAACTGCTGGTTATGACTAAGGCAGGTATGTTAGTAAGAAAGGTTTTATTGGCTAATCATTTTTGTGGACCTAATTTGCATGGCTTTTTTTTAAGGCTCTTACTCGCCTGTTGCATCAAACATTTTCTGAATTGCCTCGCCTCACCCGAGGCAACCGCAATTGTTTGCTGTGGAGGAAGTCTGGAGATTCACTGCGAGTCACTCCATGATGTGATACTGACTGACGGAGATGTCTATATTTAATCAGCCGCAGGAAAGCTTCTGCTCCTCAGCTGCAGGATCCAAGAGGCTGTTCTCCAGGAAAAGACTTAGCTGGGGCCACATGTCAGGCCCCCAAATTCACTTTCTGCAGTTGCGACCCATAAGGAACAGAAAGCAACAGACCTGCTGGAATCCTATGCCTGTTAATTAAATGGCTGCAATTTGGACTCATTTTTCAAACCGAGAACAAATATGCAAAGATGCCTTATTCCCAGCCAGTCACACAATCAGAACCGTAGAGCTGGAAGGGATCTCCAAAGCCATCTAGTCCAACCCCCTGTGACGCTAAAGAACCCAACTCACTCAGCACCACCCACACTGGCTCCTGGGTTTCAGGTAGAGTAGACCTATCTGGTGGTGCTTGGCACTGAACCTGGGTCCTCCTGAAAGCAAAGCAGCTCCTCCACCCCTGGATTATGCCCGGATGCCCTGTCTGCTGGGTCTGCAGTCCTTTTGCCTAGAATGCTTCCTTCCTATTCCCAAACGCCTGGGTGCCCCTGGTGGGAAACAGTTTGGCCCCTTGGCGCTGAAGGAAAGGCGCTTTGGATGCCGAGGGTGCCTCTGAGCATGGCCAGAGTGGAGCCCCTTTTTTAGTCTGTTGCAGCAAAGACGGTAGGGGTTCGCCAGAGAGACCCCCACCCTGTGGGTCCTTCCTAGCAATCGGGTCGGGGGGCTAAGCGATTCTCGCCCTTCCTCCCCCCAAAATCCAGGTGGGGCCAATAACCCACCCCACACGTCCTAATTAGCACCCTTCTGTACCTTTGGCGGCGGCGGCGGCCTCGACGGCGTTCCCTGTATGCGGGTCTTTATTTTGGAGAGGGGGTCCTTCTCTTGCCTTCTCGCCCCCCAACTCCGGAGTGCTTTTCCTCCCTTCCTTGCCCGACGATCCTGCAGGGTAGGCGGAATCCGAGGGCAGGGGGAGCACCCAATCCAGAGGACCCCCACCTCGGGGCGGCGGGTAGGGTGGGATCCTGCGTCCCTCCCCGCCTAAAGGCGACAGCAGCAGCGACGCTCCATGGTGCAAGCGGCGAGGGCGCAGAGCAGCGAGCGAATGCGCCGTCCCCGAGCGGCGAGCGCCTTTGTCTGCGCGGCCGCTGCGGCTCCTGGCCGCGCCGTCGGGGATGATGTAACTCCCGCAGCCGCGGCTCCGCCTCGGTCCGGCTGATGCGGCAGGCGGTGCGGATTGCACCAGGCAGCCGGGCAAGCCGGGCTCCGCCCCGGCTCGGGTGACACGCGCCGCCCCGAGCCTGCAATCGCGCGCAGCAGCCCCGCCGGGCGGGCGCCCCCTCGGGGTCGCCTTGCAACCGGGTTGCGCCACGCGAGGCGCCCCCAAAGGCGTGGGACTAGTCTGGAAAGAGAGGGGCGACAGCTGCAACCCCGGGTCCGGATGCTAGCATTTGATTGACGTTGGAGTGAGACTGAGTTGAGAAATAAGACTTAAGAGCGCATATTGATATAGGAATGTATTAGATAATATGTAAAGAAATATACAATAATAAGAGTACATTCATTTGTAAAAAAAAGGAAGATATAACGGGAAAGACAGGAAGTCTAGTGGTATGTGTATGATTTTGGGGGGGGGAATTGTTTTTGTTTTTTCTCTTTGTTCTTTCTTTTTTGTTTCATTTTCTTTCTAGGTATATAAAATTTGTATATAATTTTTTGTATACATGTTGGAAATGATAGTAAGTCCTGTAATGTTATATGACAACGTTTACCGATGTAATTAAAGAATGTTAACAAATAAATTAAATGCAGATTCAAAAAAAGAAAAAAAGAAAGAAACGGAAACACCGTTTACCTTCCCGCCAGAGCGGTACCTATTTATCTACTTGCACTTGGACATGCTTTCGAACTGCTAGGTTGGCAGGAGCTGGGACCGGGCAATGGGAGCTCACCCCGTCGTGGGGATTCGAACCGCCAACCTTCTGATCGGCAAGTCCTAGGCTCTGTGGTTTAACCCACAGCCACCCGCGTCTCTTTTAACAGGTAAAGGAAGGTAAACGGCGTTTCCATGCACTGCTCTGGTTCGCCACATGACCCAGAAGCTGTACGCCGGCTCCCTTGGCCAGTAAAGCGAGATGAGCGCCGCAACCCTAGAGTCGGTCACGACTGGACCTAATTGTCAGGGGTCCCTTTACCTTTAAAGGATTAAATAAGGATTTAATGAAAGTTTGATATATGTAATTATATGCGGTTAAAATTAAAAAATGTATCTGTGGAAACCAGAAGGGTGAGGAGGGAAGTCCTGGGGTTCAGAGAACCACACAATTGTAATAATAATAATAATAATTTATTTATACCCTGCCCAAATGGCTGGTGGTGGCTTCTAGCAAAATATTAAAATACAACAATTCATCAAATATTAAAAGCTTTCCTAAACAGGGCTGCCTTCAGATGTCTTCTAAAAGTCTGGTAGTTGTTCTCCTCTTTGACATCTGGTGGGAGGGCGCTCCACAGGGCGGGTGCCACCACCGAGAAGGCCCTCTGCCTGGCTCCCTGTAACTTCGCTTCTTGCAGGGAGGGAACCGCCAGAAGGCCCTCAATTCAATATTGAAGTTTGAATGATGTCAATGATGAAAAACTGAAAATAAAATAGTAATGATAAAGATTTGTAATTGGCAATAAACATTAAAAGAATCCCATAAAAAGCAAAAACTAAAAAAAAAGACAGTGGCACTCGTCATTTCAGTCCTCCCATCCTGTCCCCTTCTCTCCCGGGGTCACCAATCGCATGTGCCACTTTCTCATTTCCTCATTTCTGCCCTGGCAGCCTGGCCAGGATCCACGGTCTCTCCTCTCCTTGGAGACAAGGACAACAACACGCTTCCCACTGAGTCAGCAGCAGCAGAGGCGCTCTGGGTCTTGCACAGGGTTTCGTAATGTCATGACGGCTTGCAGGGCCGTTGCTGCAGGTAACCTGACCCCGCCTGCGTTAGGAAATCACATCCGCTGCCAGGAGAAAGAAAAATATATCCCAGCTTCGCCTCTGGGACTCCCAAATTGGGACTCGCAGCAGGAGGGCCAAATGAGGAGTGGGGCGTGGAACACCTGTTAGGGTGATTAGAGCATTGACATGACCAGATAAAAGGGGAATTGTTGGGAGGGTCTTGGGCAATGGATGGATTAAGGTTACAACCTTTTATCTCTCCTCCTCCTCCTCCTCCTTTGGAGATCACTCGTAGCTGTGCCAGATTGTTTTCCATAAACATGGTTTTAACAATGAGTCCGTAAGTGACTGTGGAGGCCAATTCTGGATCCACACATCCTTCCACAGTGGGGACATTGCTTTCCAGGCTGGAGTTGATCACGGTGAGGGTTTGCCAAACACGCCTTCCTTTTAGCACGTTTCTCCCTTGCGTCCTGAGTTCGAGTGTCATCAAAGCCCATAACACCTTTGATAAAGGCTGTTCTCCAACTGCAGCGCTCGCAGGCAAATGTTTCCCAATTGTTGGTGTTTATACTACAGTGGTACCTCGGGTTAAGAACTTAATTCGTTCCGGAGGTCCGTTCTTAACCTGAAACTGTTCTTAACCTGAAACACCACTTTAGTTAATGGGGCCTCCTGCTGCCCCCGGAGCACAATTTCTGTTCTCATCCTGAAGCAAAGTTCTTAACCCGAGGTACTATTTCTGGGTTAGTGGAGTCTGTAACCTGAAGCATATGTAACCTGAAGGATATGTAACCCGAGGTACTACTGTACATTTTTTTAAAAATTGCCTTGAGACAGTCTTTAAACCTCTTTTGTTGACCACCAGCATTATGCTTTCCATTTTAAAGTTCGGAATAGAGTAGCTGCTTTGGAAGACGAGAATCAGGCATCCGCATAACATGACCAGTCCAACAAAGTTGACGTTGAAGAATCATTGCTTCAACACTGGTGATCTTTGCTTCTTCCAGTACACTGGTATTTTATCTAACCTGTACTTTGATCTCTTTCCTGTTTCTGGTTGTGAAGGGCCTCAACTGCCCCACAAGAGAGGAGAAATGCCCCTGGCATCTGCAGACAACTCTTCAACAAGGAAACTCTTCTCTTTTATCGGAGAAATGTTGGAGGGTATGGTAGGACGTCCCTATTTTCATTGGAGATATTTCCCCCCAAGCCAAGGAAATAAGATAACTATACAACTTTTAGAAGACATCTGAAGGTAGCCCCTTTTGGTTTTAGTGTGTTTTTATATACAGCGGTACCTCGGGTTACGTACTTAATTCGTTCTGGAGGTCCGTTCTTAACCTGAAACTGTTCTTAACCTGAGACACCACTTTAGCTAATGGGGCCTCCAGCTGCCGCTGCATCGCCGGAGCACGATTTCTGTTCACACCCTGAAGCAAAGTTCTTAACCTGAGATACTATCTCTGGGTTAGCAGAGTCTGTAACCTGAAGTGTCTGTAACCCGAGGTACCACTGTACAGTCATACTTCGGGTTACAGACGCTTCAGGTTGCGTTTTTTTGGGTTACGGACTGCCAAAACCTGGTAGTACCGGAACAGGTTACTTCCGGGTTTCGGTGGTCACACATGCACAGAAGCGCGTTTTGCGCATGCACAGAAGCGCCGAATCACAACCCGCGCGTGCGCAGACACGCCGCTGCAGGTTGCAAACGCTGCGGGTTGCGAACGTGCATCCTGCATGGATCATGTTCGCAACGCAAGCATCCACTGTATGTGGAAGCCGCCCAGAGTATCTGGGGCAACCAAGTCAGATGGGTGGAGTATAAATGATGAAAGTGTCATCATCATCATTATTGAATATATGTTCCTATTTTCATCGGAGAAATGTTGGAGGGCATTCAATGGGGCCTGAAACGCCTGCTTCAGTGGTCTGAGCACTTAGCTGACCAAATAAAAGTTAGGGCATTCGTTGTGAGGGTCTCGGGCAATGGATCGGTTAAGACTGCAACCTTTTATCTGCTGTACTTTGATCTGATTCCTGATTCTGGTTGTGAAGGGCCGCCCAATGCCCCTGGCACCTACAGGCAACTATTCAACAGGAAGAGAACGGTCGCTTGCATCTCGTTTGCTAGTGTACCCTGAGCTCAGGAAAGTCTTGGCTCAGGCAAACACCCGTCTTGATGAAAGGGGCTGGGGAATCGTGCCGTGAAGATTGTGCCCAGAGTCGGAGCAAGAAAACTGAGAGCAAAACCAGGTTTATTTCAGGTTGGGCTAAGTGACACGCCCTCCTTTCCCTCCTGCCCATTATGTCCCCCCTGAGAATGATGGGACTTGTAGTCCAAAGCGTGACAAAGCCCAAAGTGAGGACCAAATGGAGGGCAGTGAGGTGGAGAAGGTTGCAGGCCAGTCCTTGCCCTGCTCCAGCCTGACATCCGGGACAAAGCTCTGCTGCTGTCCGCAAAATGTGCAGACTCGGGCAGGGAGGAAATTCTTCTCAATTAGCTGCCTGTTTCCGGAAACAGATGGTTCTTCCATCTGAACAGGAAAAGGCAAAGCATGGCACGGCCTCCAGGTCAATCATGGCCAGAATTCAACTGGATGATTTCAGACTCTGCGTTGAGGAGTGAATGCTCCTCCAAACCCACCCAAATTCCCTGCACACAGAAAACAAGCATGTCAGGGAGAAGGTCCTATCCTAGCCTTCTCTCTGGCATGGTAGTTTTCTGCATGCAGGGATGGAAACCCCTCGTGGACCTTCGGAAGCCGGACCTTCAGGCCAGAACTGCTAGATTCAGGAAGGACTCTTGCACGACCTCTGCTCTTTGGCAGATTAATGAAGATAAACACGAGTAGCATTGTTAGTATTGCCTTTGTTTTGGGAAAATCCTTGATATTTGTGGATTTTCCCACACTTTAAAATTACCGTATTTTTCGCTCCATAAGGCGCACTTTTTTCCTCCTAAAAAGTAAGGGGAAATGTCTGTGCGTCTTATGGAGCCAATGCGTGGTCCCTGGAGTCGAATTGCCTAAGGGCAAAAAGCAGATCTTGCTCTTTTTTTTTTAGAAAGAGGGAAGGGGGTGTTGAAAGGAAGCCGCTGAGCAGCTAATCGGCAAGCGATCGGGAGGGAGATAAGGTACTCTAGCGATAAAGGAGGCTGCCTGGGAGGAGGAAGGTAAAGACAGTGAACTTGCAAGGAGAGGAGACAGGAATACTAAAACAAGCAATGAGGAGAGAAATTAGAAGAAAAGAAGGAACCAAAAACTGCTCCGGCTAAGCAAAAGACAC